TGAAAGAAAGTGAGAATTAGAGAGGAAAGGTAGAGATAGAGATGGTAGGGAGGGAGGGATTTAGGGAAGGTTAGAAAACCAATAGAATAGGTTTGTTTTTGTTTTCTCATATGTTGTTCTTTTTGTTTGTTAAATATTTGCTTTTGGGTTTAAATGTAATAGTGAAGGACACCCACTTTAATTCCATCCTCCAATTCCATTAATGCCCTTGTCATCATCATGTCACCATGTCCAAATGACACCCTCGCCCTATGCTATGTTCCCCAAAATACCCTTCACTTGTAAATATTCTTGTCACATGAATTACCCTTACCCCCAATCCCCCTATGTATCAAAGCTTGTGGATTTCAATGTTATAATGTAATATATGTGCTTCTTGCAATTTCCCACCTCTCACAATGTAAACTTTCTCCTTTCAAATTATGTTTATGTTAACGACGTAAATGACCATAATATCAAAATGACGTCGAAAAAATAAGAGATCTAACAAAAGTTTATAATAGACATCGATAAGGTGATTTTGAAATGAAATCTATGAGTATTTAAAATATCTTTACATTCGATAATTAATCGAAGAGAATGTGTAAATCGAGCGTCAGCTGGAGGAATATCCCAACATGGACATTGAAAGAAAGAAGTGATGTTGACGAGGTTGGAAAGAGAGAGGAAAAGGGGAAGGTGAGGGTGAGGGTGGGGCACAATTGAGAATAAAGGAAGAAATTTTGTGAAAGGAAGGGGAGGGTTTTCCTTGTGGAGGGCATAACACAGCACCAACACCAAAACCAAAGGGAGTCATTTTCAGACAGGCTGCGTTTGACCCCTTCAATTTTGTAATTAGAAAGGCCATTGCAAGAAAGAATATTGAATATGGCCGCCACAATGTAACTGCGATGGAGACTAAAAAGTATCGATTTTATGATGACTATTTGATATAATTTTGAAATACTTTCGTAATTTTTTTTATACAGTATAAGGGTGCGTATGAAAATAGTCAAAGTATCACTTGGATGATGATTTTGGAAAATGCTCAACAACCACTTGGATGATGATTTTGGAAAATGCTTAACGTTGTTGAGTGACGTGTACTGGACCCTAACAAACTGAGGGAGAGCGAGCTAGGAGGAAGAGACCTGCAAAAATAGGTAGAACACTAAGACACTCAAGTTAGTCCTTAATTCAGATTTTCATACTTGGTTAGGCGAAGTGATGATGTGTTTATAAGGGATGAGTGGGTTGTTACGGTAGAACTGTTTCCAAGATCAGTCACCGACTTTTCATCGTAGATCCTACTCAATGGTGTCTTAACTTTTACCAGTGAGCTCGCTTGATCCCTAATGAATCAAGTAAGTGGTCATGCCAACTTCTTAACTTGACGTAGATTTTGACCAAGGAACTTGATCCACGCATTGGTAGCTCTACCCAACATAATTATACTCATTTCTTTTCTTTAAATTATTCGTTCTAACATCAGTCCCAGACACACCTTAATCTATCAACTATGAGGTCAGTAGTAACTTTGGCAACAAAGTTGAATTTGAACACCATCGTTTTCGAGCGCTCCCAATCCCAATAATCCCACCGCTATGTGCTGTCCTTGTTCGGCCACCTCTTCAATATGCTATTCTTGCGGTTTCTTCCACGATTTGCTTTTCTTTAACAAAATAATAATAATATTGTAAATAAATAAAAATCATTCCTTTTTTAAGTTTTTTTATTTAAAAACAACACACATATTTGGTCCATTTTTTTTAGTTAAAAATCTTTTTGAAGTCTTTCCATTTAAAAAGAAACACACCTATTTGATTTTTTTAGTTAAAAATACTTAAAAAGGGAGATTCCAAACCTTCATATTGAGAAAATTCTTAATCAATTCGATTATGTTTAAATAGATTATTTGGTCATAGATTCATATGTACAACTCAAATGTTTATGGTAAAAGATCATATCAAGGCAACGTGGTCAACTAATATTTTCCTAATTCATTACATATTAAGATTCAAAGACTAAAAATTTGTTTGGGATGACTTTTAAAAAAATACTTTTTAAATAAAATATTTTTTTCAACAAATGCTTTTGAAAGAATAAGAATTACTCATTTAAAGTGTGTTTAATATAACTTCGTGAGTGCTTTTTAATTTACAGTATTTGGTAATAAATAAAATAATATTTTTAAAAACTGGATCCCTTAAAAAACTTGAAGAAACCTTTGAGAGATAATGACTAAAAAAATGCTTAAACTAAAAGATATGTCACACCCCTCTAAATCATTCTTTTTTAAGTAAAAATACAATACAATGTGTACTAAACAAATATATATATATATACAACACAACGAGTAAATGTGCTCCTAAACCTTCTTTTTATTTGTGTTTAACCTAAAAAGAATTACAAAAATCTTATAGATTTTATTGTTTAGCTGCAACTAATAATGAAATTATCCTTAACCCTTTCTTACCACTTTGTCTCATTAGATTTTGTAACACTTTAGTAATGATGAATACAACTTATAAACTTTAATCAAAGTAAAAAAATCATATTAATGGTAATCACTAGTTAACCTACTTATTGATTAATCATATAAATGATCTTATGTACTATATCACTAATTAATCCATCTATTGACTAATTTATATATTAGTTAATTGAAGTCATAATCATTCATATAAGTATATTATATATATTTTTTTTGGTTATATTTGTTATTATTTTCTAATTGCTATTATCTTTTATAAATTATGTCACAGTTGTAATTACCCATTCTTAACTTTTATAAAATTGGGCCTAAAAGCATGTTATTTCGATAGGCCGTATGAGATTTTCAATGGTCGCCCGCAGTATATGGTTATTTCAAATTAACCCTTTATACATGATTTCTTTCCAAATAAAACTTTCACATTTCAACAACAGGTACGTCAAATTTCAAAACTTTGAAGTAACAACTAATTAATTATCAATATAAAAGGATAAGAATATGAATCAACAATTTTTTTTACCTGAATAAGTTAAAAAGGTGTAAATATAAAAACACTTGCCACATACAAAATTTTCCCTCAAAAAATAGTGCCAACCACCCATGGTAAAATCAGACCATACAACAATCCATGATGAACTGAGTTAATTTTAGTTAAACCCAAGTCAATTACATAGATTCAAATAAATCTAGTCGCATTACCAATTACTAAAACCAACCCAAAAAAAATTTGGGTTCGGTTGATCAAATTTAATTTTGCTCAAAACAATACCATAACCATGCCAAGTTGAACTTTTTATAGATCATAAAAATGTAAAGCAAGTTTTATACAAACTCCTTCAGAACTAGAGGAATCGAAAGGATTCAAACCGTAAAAGGAAAAGCCGACAGAAGGCAGTTCATTGATCATCACAAAAAGATAACAAAATATGATCTCATCGAGCTAAAAATCATTCCTAAAAGATGATAATTAGATTTGTCCAGCCAATTGTTCAAGGAAACCCTTTGAGTGGATCAGCGGTCTTGCCGGATCTGGCATCAGTCCACGCCTTTGCTATCGTTCTTTTCATCTCATCATCTCCATCGTCGTACATATTCTGCAGTTCCCATGATGTCAGCCATAATGAATCAGCAATCACACAGAAATCAGTGTTCAGCCTAAAGACAGACGCAACTTCATGTGTATCCTAATTGTTTATAACATTTGTCAGAGGCGTGTGTACCCACCCAACTCATACACCAGAACAGATATCCATAGCTATCACGAGTTGAAAACCACTTGACAAGTTTGGTTTTGAATTTGTTCAAAACAAAAATATAGCCCCGATAAGATCAAGAATTAGTTAGTTGGGATTGATGTAACATTTTGGGCTCATGAACTATTTTTTGCCGTGTGTAAGCTAAAGCCTACCTCAACTAATCTCATAAGATAGAGACAATTTTGATGTGTAATTTTAATGTGTGCCGTAAGTTATCTCCTTCAAGTCCATCTATATGTTACTTGAATGAATGAATCACATCATCATCTTTATCCACTCTTTTACCTCCCCAAAACTAATGGATGCTAACAACCAAAGCAGATATACTACCAGCATAAATGTGAGAGAGAAATTTAGGACCACCCCCAAAAAATCAAAGAAAGGGAAAGAAAGAGAAACATTCCTTCCTTTCCAACCCATAAACCCATAAAACCTCCACAGGCTAAGATGCTGTTACCTTCATTAAGTCCATGATTCCTGCCATTGGGTCACGTTCTTTATCTAGACCTGGCTTGAGCTGTAAGATGTAAATAGCAACAAAGTTAGTTGAATAAATACCTCAAAGATACAACTAAACCTCCACATACTGTGCTAAATAACTTGCCTTGTCCTCCTTCAAGTGCAAGTCTAACCAGTTCCCTTTTGAAGCTTTATACAACGTGATCACGGCCCTCGTTGGTTTAATCAGCAACTTGCACTTCTCAGGCATGATTTCCTTGTTCAACTTAGGAATGGCAAACCGGTAATTCTTCCCCTTGACATCGTGGAACTTGATATCGATTGACATTACCTTGTAGTCAGCCTCTACTTTTTCTTGCTCAATTTCTTCCAGAGATATATATATCTACAGCCCCCAAAAAGATAAATGATATGACATCCACCCGGATGGAAGAACATAATAGTTTAAAATATTAACACGCTCTAATTTTCATCAATGTTTTTAAAGGTTTTTGAGGCTTACGCCTTTCTTGAGGCAAGACTCTTAACTTTTAGCATCGAGACTTATGCCATCTTTGGACTATAAGAGACTTATGCCTCCATCAAAACCTCGCGAATGATTAGAAGAATAATATTAATTTACCCAATTCTTAAAAAATATAAAGGTTTACTTGTGTATGAAATTCTAATACATGTGCAATTCAATCTGTTACTCTTTTTACTGCATAAGGATTGAACAAGGGACATGTAATGGAGGCTTATGAACAAGGGACATGGGAGTTAACTACTCTTTTTACTACATATACTTTAAAAATGTTGAAGACAAAAATTTAAAGAATAAGTCAAATCATATTAGTGATGATAGTAGTGATGTTAAACTTGTCTCTTTAGAAATTTTTATGTAAGTTGCGGTGATTTCTTTTATACTTTTACATTATTATATTTAACAATACTTGATCACACAAATTTAGGATTTGTATAGTTTTTTAATTAAAATTGAGGCTTATGCCTTTTCAAGAGGAAAAGGCTCAATCCACATCTAGTTTTTTTTTTTTCCTTTTTGTGATAACCGTGAGTGTCTAGATCAGCTTACGCACACATCGACTAATCTCACAGGATAACCGCCTGACCCTACAACATTTGGTGTCGGGAAACACCATTTGATGCCGGGAAACACATAGGAATTATTACTTCCTAAGGTAGGTGACCATGGAGTTTGAACTCATTCTCTCTTAATTAACCTTAGCCTGTTGGACCAATAGGCCAACCATGATGGTTTCGCCTCTAGCCTTTTAAAACATTGATTTTCAAAACTGGGTTCTAAATTCTAATCGTGCCATGTAATGGAGGCTTAAAGTCTTTTACCTTCACTTTGTCATTGTCCTGATCCCAGCTGAATCCAGACAGTGGAGTGTAAATAATAGCTGGACCGGTGGGCACCTTAGCTGTTGAAGTTGAAATAGGAGTGGCAGTGGGAGTTTGTACGGTTGGAGCAGAGACGGATTCTTTCGACATCTGAGCGAATATGGCAATATAATTTAGGTCAGACAGGAAAATACAGAATCCTAATACAGATAGCAGCATAAAACGATTAAAGCAATATATGAAATTGAGGAAACAGACGTATATAGCTTAGAATTGACTTCATTATATTATCAGCCTCTCAAAACCATGGGAAAATACCTGAATGAATATTATATTTACTCCGTAAACTAAGTTTAACAGTATGACAAACCATGAGCTAACAGTAATTTCTACATTTCATCAACAACGCAGCAATAAGTAAGATCATTAAACAGGTGCGAATTAGTCTAAACATCTGGAAAATTCAAGAGAGGAAAAAAGAGTCCCAGTAAGAGAAACAGAGAGGAACCTTCTCTAAGTTGCGAATCTCAGAAGAAATGAGAGAGACAACTCGAGGTCTCTTGGCAATGCTCTGGAGGTGACGAAGCTCCTCCAAATCAAGAGACAAGTCTTCCGCCATAACCTGAATCTTCTTCGAGCTTGAAATGGAACTGGTATCAAGCAGCGGGAGAGAATTTGGAGGAAGAAGATGAAGGAAAGTGCATAAGCTCCGACGGCGACGGGGATTTCTTGCTGCGTCTACTTGGAATGGAAATCGCTAGAACCAGCGAGGGTTCTGGAAGGGCAAATTTTGGATTCCTTAAGAAGGTTCTGGATTCCACTTTTCTTTTTCTTTTTTTTTTCCAACTCCACGTATTCCATCCATTTAATTTCACAAATTATATGAATTAATTTAAAAATTATATGAAATTAGTTCATATGATTTGTGAAATTAAATTTTTATAACATATCAATTCTTTTATACATATTTGACTATCCAATATATAAAATAAGGATTCAAACTCATGGTCTCACAATCAATGATATATATCTTATTATTTATTTTTATAATATCTTTAGGGATATTGGTTGACATCAACGTCTACATTATGTCCATATTTCTCCTGATATTTTTATAAAATTAAAGCATCGACATTTTCGTTAGTCTTGAATTTAACACTAAAATGACAATTAGAAAGTAACAAGTGTACATTCATAGTGCCCTTCTTCTTCTTCTTTTTTTTTTTTTTTTCTCTTTTTTCCTTTGTAAGTACAGTAAATTCGTAGCTATTCAGTTTTCAATAAATTGCTGTATAATATTTCAGTAATTGTTGTAGCATACTCGCCGCTGTTAATGTGGGCTTGGCCCAAATAAATTCAGGCCTACAATTCTATTTGGACCCAACCCATAAGCTTGATGGATCAGATCAAAATTTAGGGGGAATTCAACCTTCGGTTGTTTTTTTTCTTTTCTTTTGTATTTTAATGGGATTTACCCTTTGAATCCAATCTTATTTTTTATCGGTTCATTAGATTTTATCTTATTAACCTTTTTAATTGTTAAACAACATTTTAGTAACTTTATGAGATAGTTAATTATTTTCGATTTGAACTTTATTTTAAATTTTGTTGTTAAACTTTTTTCACATTTCGTTCAATAAAGTTATCAGAATTTATTTGTTTAAAAATTTTATTGTGTTTTTTCAAAATTTTAAGAATTCTTTTATTATTTTGTGAAAAAAATATTTATTTTTTTTATATTTGCTCAAGGTTACCTTTAAAATTCTCCATTATATCCTTCTATCAACAATTTGTTAATAAAAAGTTAATAAATCATTAAATTATTGTTTTATTAATATATTTAGGCAATGAAATATTTTGTCTTCACTCACATGCTTTCTAGTAAAGCAACTAGGAGGTCACCTAGGTCACTCAAAAATCAAGTACGCTTAAATTTAGAGTTCTTACGATTGAGTTAACGAAAAGGAAGGTGCACATTGTTAATATAAGTAATGACTATCAATTCTTTTAAGTCTTTCTTGACCATTCTTCAACGATCTTATGATCTCTCTCATTCGGATGTGGCATCGGTTCAATATTCATGTACGCCTCCTCTCTACTCGGGTATTACACCACCCATTAATAAAATTTGATCCAACGATTAACATTTTTTTTCCAAGTGGCATGTCCATATAGCAAGCTCACATATCAAATGTGCTAATAAAATAATAAATTGTCAAATGTGCTAATAAAATAATAATTTAATGACATATTAACTTTTTGTTAACAAATTTTTGTAGGTGAGTGGCTAATTGAGATGAGAATCTTTAATACATCAAGACTAAAATTGAGAATTTTGAAAAATTAAAGACAATTTGAGAAAAATCTCAAAGCTTAGGACCATTAGGTATATTTAACCTTTGGTATTTTATGTTAATAATAAAAATGTTATTTTTAGAAACTCTTGAATTTTTTTTTTTTTAACACATTCATTCGGAGGTCAAGAAAGGGTTGGAAGACAAGAACCAAATAAAGGGGGAAAAAAATTAAACCTATTTTTATCTTTATACTTTTAGGCTTTGTTTGTTTTGGTCTATACATTTTCTAAATGCTATTTTAATTTTTGTATTTTTGTCTATTTTAGCCTATATACTTTAAAAAGAATGTAATAAAAGTCTTTTATGACATATAGACTTCGTCAATCTATCTAGTTCTTTGACTGTTTTGTCCTCACTCACATGCTTCCTGTTGGAGTTCTTACAATTGAATTATCGAAAAAGAAGGTACACCTTGTTAGTATAAGTAGTGACTATCAATTCTTTTAAGTCTTTATTTATCATTCTTCTACGATCTCATAATCTCTCTCATTCAATACGGTAATTGTTTCCTATTTCTTGTTTATTTGGTTTTTATTTAAAAGAAGAACATAAACATATCTAGTATTTATTTCTTGTTTCTGGTTACCTAAAATTAAAAAAAAAAAGTAAAATTTAAAAATGTTCACGAAAGAAAGCAAGTTTTGAGATGGGATGAATCTATTTTTGTGTTGTCATTTTGAAGTTTTTAAATTGACCAAAAAAGAGTTTGAATGGTGATGGGCGATAGTGTGCGAAAGCGGGGAAACAAAAAGCCAAACGCAAAATTCGCCCATGCCCCTCCTACGTGGAAATTATACATATCTTCACTTCATGAAAGTCATTTCCTTTGCTTTTCACCTTTGAATCTTGAAAATGTCCAAAATATCAAACCTAATGCTAATGAATTTGATCCATATCCATCATTTCAATACAACCAAAGGAGATTGAAAAAAGAACCTTTGACTGCCCAATTGCCCACCAACACAACAAAGTTTAAAATAAATGCAGGCTCCATATCCAACTACGTCTAATTCCATTATAAACACTTTACACAAGGAGTTGGTGGATAACAAATCATTTCGATGTTAGGTTCTGTCGTTCTTTAGATGTGCTTTTGAAGTTCTTTTTATCCCTTGCTTGGGTCGAATATCCTTTCTTAGTACTTTCTTTGACAAAGTACTTTTGAGTTCTTTTGACTTTTCCAAAGTCATTTTTATATTAATGTCGATGAGCGAGGATTTTGAGGGAGACGTGCCTTCAAAGTATGGTAAAAGTATTGTTAGTTAGGATAAAAACATTCTCAAACATATATATGGAGAAAATTCGTGTAGATATCACTTGGAATTGAAAAGTAATAATCGATTTATAAAAATCATCGCCCTTTGTATTCAGTGTCACTTGAACTGCATGTAAATTAAGGGTTTCCCTCTTACCCATATAGTAATAGCTAATGAAAAAATGAGAGGAAACAGCCGTAGTTAACTACTTAATTTCACAATGGCTCATTCGCAGGTTGTTTGAAACTTCTTTCCACTGTGGTTAAAAGTTCCTTGTCAACATTCGAATGTATTGGTTAACCCACAAGGCAAAGAGAGGTCCTAATAAACATATTTTTTTAAATTACCAATGCAAGCAAATAACAATAAAATAAAATAACCCTTTACTTAATTAAGATATTTGGATAGGTGAGGTGTCCTGAAAATTTGTGGAAGGCACATGATCCCCACGTTGGGTTGATATCATATCACATTTATAGGCCAATCCTCATCACTACCCTCAAAGGCTGACCATAAATTGTCTGCACTTCCATCCCTAACCATCCATTTCACAAGAAAGGGAAACTAAAGGCTAAAAAGGAAGCTCCTTTACAAGTTTAGAAAGCACACCAAACCACCAATATTAATAAAATAAATTCCTTTTCTTTCTCTTTTTCTTTTAGCCACAGAAGAAAGCACCTGGCCGACCATATTATCACCCAACAATATGCAATGTCCCTTCACTTTTTCACACTTTTTTTTGGCTTCTTTCTCCGCCCCCTGGTTTTTGGGGGTTTTCTTCATGTTACAAAAAGTTGACATTGTAATCTAAATCTTGCTCCAATGATTATTTAGTGATGGAGATTGTATAGGAGAGATAGAAATTCTTGGATCTATGGATTGGGGTTTGGAAGAATCCAGAATTTGTGATATGATAAAAGTGTGTGTCGGTTTCTTGATTACGATTATACAAGTAAGACCTAGGAAGGATGAACGGAGAGAAATAGCCAATTTCGGGGACTATGTATAAGCCTATAAAATAATTTTGGGAATCTTTTGTACAAATCAAATAAGGACATAGTTTACACATTAATTAGAAATGAGGAGATACTTTATATATACCTCGTATTATGACACATGATTCGAACCTACGATTGTTTGATTCAACATATTTTGGTTGAGTTAGGTTTAAGTTTACTGAACAAAACTGCTCTGTTGATGATAAATAAAACTGTTAAAGATTAGTTTGAAAAGTGGATGATAGGGAGATATAGGAAGAGGGTTGGTTGTTTGTCCTGCCATGCTGACTCTATATTTTATCATTTTCAAACCATATTTAATTATTAATTAATATATGAAGTATCCAAAAGCTAATAATTTGAAATCATTTAAAACACTTTACACGCACTAAGATTAATTTTATAAAAAAAAAAGGTTTAAGAAAAAATCTTCAGATGTGATTTCTCATAAGGAATTCGAAGTTTAGGGTAAAGTGTTATACAATAAGATTACAATTTTTCCATTAAAAAATTGTCCTAGGAACATTTGTTTGGTGAGAATCTAAGATTCTTGTGAAACGGACATTAGAATTCTTAACATGACACACATCTGAAATAGGTTTCGAGATAAGTCAATCAGTCTACAAACAAGAATTGGACAACTTGACCCGCATTGCCCGCCGTAATAAATAAGAGAGAAAATTTAATTTGTTTGGAAATTCACATATCAACGATATCTTACTCTACATTTTTTGCTTTTTCGTTTGTTTTCATATATTTTTTGTTTTCATCTATTTTTTATATCTTTATTTTTACTTTTATAATTTAGATATATTGATATATTCATTGAATAATAAATACTTTATGTAATTAAATATATTTATATATTACATTTACTTATAAAATAAACTTAAATTAAATGATATAGTATCTCAATTTATTTTTAATATTTGGAAGGAATTATTATCAATTAATATTTATTTTAGTTATTATTTTAAATATATAATTTTAAAGGAAGGTTTTTTAAGGACCAAACATACCTTTAACATTTTTCTTCTTTAAACAAATATAATTTGAAAATATGATAAATAAATTTCACCTCATATAACATTAATTATATAATTGTCTTTGAAAAAAATATTAAAAGTTTAAAATGAAATTTATATTTAATATTAATAACTTTTTTAAATCTTATATCAATATAAATTCTACAAAATAACATAAAAAAAATTAATATATACGGTATTAATTTTAAAAACAAAATACTAAATTAATAAAAATAAATTTCTTATATAAATATATTATACTAAGTTTATATATAAATTATATATATATATTAGTAAGGATATTTTTTAAACATTCCATAAATTTACAACATTCCAAGAATAAATCCTTCAAAACAAAATGTAGCTATGCAAATATTTTTTCATATCTTTATAAATTTTCCTACAAAATAAATATGACTATATGTAGATGTCGGATATTTAAAATTTCAACCATCTATTCCAAACATCTGAAGATATGAGACATCTACGAGTCCTTTAGTTAAAAAAAAACATCATTTATGATATATATAATGCGCATATATACAACGGGTTATTTTTTCTTTACTTTTTATATTTGTTTGCTCATTTCACATTGGATTTTCAAGTGAAAAAGAGAGAAGAAAAAGCAAAAAACCTACAAAAGCCCTTCCAACATAAAAATAGCAACAGTTACATATGGATAATGGATTCCACGTCCCAAAAGATACACTTTTTTTCCTTCTTCTTATTGCAGCCAAGGATGCAGGGCATTCATACAAAGTTTTATGTCACTTTTTTTAAATGGTTTTTTTCAAATCTCTTTTCTCTCTTTTTTTTTCGGTCTAAAGAAATATGATACCAAATAATTGTACTATAATATGATGTGTTATAACAGTAACTAATATTCTTTATAAAAAAGTTTTTAAAAGAGAACGTAGTACGCTTTCGATGAATGTTTGGATTATAAATTTGAATTTCTTTCCTTTGTAAGGTAATGTTGTAAAAGAATTTGTTAAAATAAAAAATATTAGTTTCTCAAAACATTACACAATATTATATTTTAGTACATAAAAAATTAGGGGGAAATTTTTAATTTTTAGCCCTAGACAGGTTGTATTTCAATTTTCACGTTGAAGTTTCAATTTCATAACATTAAACTCTGAACTAAGATATATGTTGCGATTTTTACCCTCTATTCAATTTTCGTTAATTCATCCACTAATTTTAACCTTAAAAAACTCTAAAACTCATTAATTTAATAAAAATCATATTAATTATCATTAAATAACTTGATCAAAACTTACACATTTCAAAAAAAAAAAAAAAAGAAAAGTTTGAATCCTAGCTATAAATTTCATGCCAAATATATGTTGCATAATTTATTGGATGCACATGATATTTTTTTTTAATGATTTTTCAAACAAAAATTTATGAGAATGTCAAAATTGTGGCATTTTTAAAATTTAAAGGTGATTGTTGCAATACTTATTCGAATTTAAGATTTTGATGCATTGGAATTGAAGGATTTAAGATAAAAATGGAGGTAAGAATAAAAATTATTTTTCCCAAAAGAGTTACATATAAAAACAAAGTAAAAAATATATGATCACGGTCAATGTTACATATTTTCTATATAGTTTCATGATGCATAAATGAATTTCTTTTTAGTACAACATGTAAGGATGGTGGATTTGAATTTAAGATTTTTTAGTAAAAAGTAGATGTCTTAATTAACTAGTTAATGACATATAGTTTAATTGTTAAACTATATGCTTAGTTTGACATGATAATGATAATGATAATAATGATAATAATAATAATAATAAAAAAAAAAAATCAAAATCATAACTTATAAAATCACGTAGTAAATTTGATTATTTGACAGGTTAATATATAGCACTTTTTTTTTCTTTTCATTTTTTTTTTTGGTACGAAGACAATAATTTCATTTTAGATAAGATATTAAGGAGTTGTTATTTTAACTTAGTTTATTATTATTATTATTATTATTTTGAGAGTAACTTAGTTTGAATTAAGGCAATATCAAACAAATGACATGCCAATATATTCGAACATGATATAAGAGGATCTTTTTCCTTATTTTTCTCTCTCTCTTTTTCTTTTTTACTTTTCTTTTCTTAGTCAAAAGTGATACTTCTAAGATATTTTTAAGTCAAATTAAAATGAATAATAATCTTAAAGTATGATATAAAAAATGACAGGTGATGAGGTTGAGAGATAAAAATCTATAACAAAAATAAACTTCTTTTTTATTTCCAACTTTATTTCTTAAATTAACTCTATTATTACTCAATTATTCAAGTACTAATTATTCCTTGATGAGTCAAGAAAAATTAAAAATAGGCGCAGAGCACATTATACCACATGTCACGCACCATATGATCGGAGGAATTAAATTGTGCCGATAATGCAGCACCATATAAAGTGACGAAAAAGCCCTCAAGTTTGGGGAAAAGAAACCCCAACCACGGCCAGAAAACGAAGGATTGATTTGACTTTTCATAATTCAATACTGAATATTGCAGAGGTCGGATCTGGTTTCTTTCTAATTTTCGTCCCTAATTTTTTTAAAAGTTTCAATTTTGCGCCTTATATATTGATTTTTTTTATTAAGCACTTACATTTACTAAATGTTAAAAAAAAAACTTTTAAAAAGTACATAAACTATTCACTAAATCGAAAAGTCAAATATATATTTAGCCTAATTTTAATTACATAAGATTAAGAGAGACACTTTGGCTTAAAACGGTCCTCTAATAAAAACTCGAGAGGTCAGCAAATACACAAACATCCAGTACACCAAGCTTTGACAATATCCCATGGTTGCACCCTGTTCAAATCAATTTAATCCATTTCCAACAAAAAGGAAAAAAAAAACAAATTATCAGACTTAATTCAACAAATTCCCTCAACCACTTGGTTTTCTCTTAAAACTTCACAAAAAGAAAAAAAAAAATCCCTCATTATATAACAATTTGAATCAATGTATATTTTTACATACAAAGCCAGTTCTTTAGCTGGCAAAACTAACAATGTGACAGTTTTGAATGTGTGCATCCAACCTTATAATTACACTAATTGTTTAAAAACAAAGTAAGAAATTAATTTCTAAGAAAAAAGAAAGATAAAATTTAATGCTTACCGATGAGACATAGATAACTTACCACCACCATTAAAAAGTTATTTTCACATCTATCTTTCTTAATAATTGGCTCCTTAAGGATGACAATCCGTTAATTTTTATAAAAAGTTCATGTTTTTTGTATTTCTGTTAAAATGAAAAAGACAAGATTCTTCCTAATTGAAGGAGTCTACTATTTTTCTTATTAATTTTTTTTACAGTAGTGAGTAAGAGACACCGGTGAGCACTTAAATTTTATCGAATTTTTAAGGGTTTATTACCTTTAGATCGGCAGAAGATGTAAGAGAAACCGAGGCAGAAGAAGGGGAGGAGGAGGTGCCCTTGAAGGAGGAGAGGCCAACATTGTAGGCCATGGTGCCATCAGGCTGGTAAAGGCCGTAATTGCGTTCAGAAGTGGGACCGGGCTTCATATTTTCATTGAACAAAGCAAAGAGGTAAATCTCAAGGCGCATGTTGGGGCGCAGCGGCGTGCCTTCGTTAGCCATTTGTCTCCTCAACAAGTTCCTATTGTAATTGGCTGCATTGGCTGCGGTGGCACCGACCTCGTTCGGGTCCCCTCGTGAGGGCCACCCGGTCTCCGACACGCGCACCTCGATCCCCCCGAACCCCATTCTGGCCATGGC